AATTTCATACACTAATCGAATGGCTAACTTCAACCCTGGATTCAACACTATACCCTACCCTAAACCTAACCCTAAACCTAACATAAAACCCTATTGAAACCCTAACCCTAACCCTACATCTTAGACGAAATAAAGCCCGGAGCAATTGTCGCAGGAGCAAATGTCGTGTCACCGATTCCAGAACCTTGCAGTACACATCAACCTTTTTTGATCGATTCCACATCGTTTATTTCACAATGCAATCGCATGACCAGAACTGGTCTTTACCTTTAAGACACAGGGGGCCTAGGGGGCTAGGTCCAATTTAGTTCTAAAATGGGAGCAGAGTCTCCCAGAAGATACAGCCATGAAAACAACATCCCATCCTTTGGAACGCTGCCTCTAAACGACTCGTCATTCTTAAATTCATTTCCCGCCGCCACTCATAATGTGCAACAGAGCAAGAGGCCTGAATGTAATGTAGTATGTTCGACTTACATCCGTCATTCCCTTTTTACGTCTGACAGGAAATAAAATATTCTGCAATCTAATTCATTGGTGTTATTAAAAGACGCATTTGTTGATGGATGGGTGATTCCTAAAGCAGCAACGCCCTGTTCCTTGTTCAATTCACGTACCAGCAATTGAACAAATTTCTGAAAATGAATTGCTCGTATTTTAAAGATGGATGAATAATTTCTGAAGCAGCATTGTCCCTTATACTTCACATGCAAGGTATGCTCACAATTAACAAATGACACCGAGGAATAATTTTTCTTTTATGTCCCGACACAATATAGATCTATAATTGTGTGTAGTCTTTAAAGCAGCACTTCAAGTAAAGATTCCAGTAAAGAAGTGTATAAAAAATGTACATGTACAAGTAACAAGGCAAGTCTGTTTCCAATGAGAGAGGGATTTTACCAATTCATTGACAATAAATTTCGCTGTTCAAAGAAATCTACTGGCATAAGATGCCATCCAAGCTCCTGTCTTCATAACCATTAAAAGGAATAATTTTTTTCAATTTAGCTTTTATAATTATCAATTCAGTCTGACTCGTTTATCAATGCTTTCATGTACAATAAGGCTGTGCACAACAGTGTAATGAGGTACCCGAGTACACTCCCAGGCTCACAAGCGAATACTCGAATATTCGGACGCCATGTTTTTTTATAATTTTTTTGAATTTTTTTGATTTTTTTTGATTTTTTTTTAATTTTTTGATTTTTTGATTTTTTTGATTTTTTTGATTTTTTTGCCACTACCATACCACTCGGCAGTTTCCCAGGTCCCTCGCCGAAAACGCATGCAATTTTAATTGGAGTTGCAGTTGAAGGCGCCAATTTAATAAGAAAAATAACAGTAAACAATGCTGTTTTAAAAACCAAATATGGCAGAATAATCCATTTTCCTCCAAGTCCAAACAGAAATCTGGACATTTGGTCCCAGTTTCTGAAAGGTGAGTTTGACAGTGCTTGATAGTACATACAGTAAATACAGACCATGGTATGTGTATGCCTACATAATCATCTGGAGCCAGAGGGGTGTAAATTCATGTACTTTTTAAAACAGAGTTAATGCCCATGTGGCTCTGAACAGACAACACATTGCCCGTTGCAATATGGCTCCATTCAAATGAATGTGTCCATCAAAATTTGAATCCATCCCTTTCCATTGTCAACACAGTCTTTCACATTGTTTTCCTTCAATATTTATAGGCCTACATGTACAGTGTAGGTACCCCAGCATACATAATTAGAGCATCTATAGTAAATTCCTTGTCCCAAATAGGGCTCTGTTTGTTGCCGCAATAATCTGCAAGGTCGTTTAGAGCATGCATGAGTAGATATTTCATGAATCGAAGGACATCAGGCCAATTTACACTACAGAAAATCAATTAGAAAAGCCATCTCATAAAAAAAAAAACTCATTTACACTACTGAACAAAACCATGAAACAACGTTGGTATTTGCCAATTCTATTGTTGCTGGTGAGTTTTGCACAGACACGACTTGTCGCTGCTCTGCATGCTCTAGCACAGAAGCAAAATGCAAGTCACGTGTGAAATGACAGAATAATTCACAGGTTTTTTACGAGCGAGCATTTACACTGCAAAACGCGGCAGAGTGTTGGCCGGTGTTTAAAAAACTATAAGCTACAGGTGGGTTTTTTCAATGTGTTCATGGGTAGTTGTCTGGCAACTTCTTAAAAAACTCTGGAATGTGAAAAAAACTGTGGTTTTCGTTTGCAGTGTGAATGCGCTATTTATTCAGACGATTCAAGGGGGAGCGAGCAACCCTCCCAACCTATCAATTCATGACGTATTCAGGTTGGGCAACCCGGAGAATTCCCAATGGCTTCTTCTGCTAGGTTTTGGATGAGGTTTTCGGCTTTACCAATGGAGCGTGGCGATATAACCACATGAATTTTTCAATAGGTGGGACTTTACCATATGATGGTTGACTGATTCTGATTGTGCTGCTTTCTGCATGGCCCTCAACAAGATTTAAAGGGATCGTTACGCACAATGTGTCTAAATATTGACCTGTATCAACAGTATATCATCATTAAATGCTATACTATGATTTATGGTTCCAAATATCAGTGATTCAGAAATGCAGTTAGAGTAATATTTGGACAAGCAGAAAATACAATTTTTCCAACACCAACTGTGTGGCATAACAATGAACTATCATAATCTTTATGATATATATTCATGGAGGCATGATGGCCCAGTGATAGGGCAGTGGTCTCGTAACTGGGAGGGCCCGGGTTTCGAAACCAAGTTGATGCGCTAGTGCCCTTTGGTAAGGCATTAATCCTCATTACCAGGTCCCTCGGAGAGGACCTAAAGCCGCCGGCCGTCTGGTTGCTTACTTACAAGCATTTATGCTTTCTTAGCGGTCAGGTAAGATAACCACCCAAAAAATTATTTAGCTTAAGCATGACTCAGAAAATCATTACCATTAAAGCTATATAGCAAACAATGCCTTATCAGTGACAGTCGGTTCCCCATGGTCCCCTTTTACTAAAAGTCCCTCGAAGGGGACGGTCCCCTGGTTGCTTACTTACAAGCAAATGCTAAATCTTAGCAGTCCAACAAATTGACTATTTCTTTAGCAGTCCAACAAATTGACTATTTCATCAGAAAAAAGATTTAGAAAATAATTTAAAAATCCTGTTATGCCTGAATTAAGAACCAGCATTAATATTCTGAAGCATTTTCAAGGAACTACATATTTATTCTATTGTTTGACATTTCCAGGAAAGATAATCTGAAAATATATTTCCATAATATTATCCATGATCAACAAAATTGCTGGTAGCTGGAAAGACCAGCAGATTCATAAGACCTCGAAATCATGGTCAGTTCTACATGAAGTGTGTTTGTTGACTAGGGGTTTTCCCTCAACACTCCTAGACTGCAAGGTCTTTGCTTTGGGGAACTGAGAGTCACTGGGGGGTCGCTAGAGGTCTGCGGTTGATGGCAGTGGGGAAGGATAGGGGGGCTCAAAGAACTTTCATAACCTTCACTGTATAATGGGGAATTGCAAGTCTGCAGCAAAAATACAACCAGGCAATACTGGGTGTCTCGGTCTAGTGTTACCGTCACCGTAATGTGGATCACATGGTTTGTAGTTCAAGTCCTGCAGCTGCGCTAATGTTCTTCGACAAGACATTACTCTAAATTTGCCACTCTCCACCCAGGTGTATACAATGGGTACCCGGTAAGGCCTAATTTCTTGAATGCTTGCAGCACCTAAAGGCAGCTGGGCTTAAGACACCGTTATAAGAGTACTTTATAAAGATGCCTTTATCAATCAACCCTTGGGATGAATATGTGCATGATAGACAATGGCTTGTACCAACATTTCAGCATTCTTCTTGTGTATGCATGTTACCGCTCCAAGAAGACTTCAGTCTCCCACTAAGCTTCAACTCCGCCTTCAAATCACAAAATAAGTCACTGGTAATGACTTTGACTCACAAACTGCAACAAAAACATGCTCGCAACCTTGCTTCTAAATCAAGAGCCAGTGCACCAGGGCTTTCCTTTCATCAAAACTAAATATAGAATTAATGAAGGTTGCAATCTGTATTCATTGGCAACCTAAGCACAGAGCGTACAAAGGGACATCCGCTCGCCTACGAGCTGAGAGCTGATCGCAGAGCGCGGACTGCTGATGGTTCCTTTCTCTCTTGGGAGGGCATCCTATTCGTTCATCCACCAGAGAAGCAAAACAATGGCATCCAGAAATAAAACAATGGATGACTATACAATTTCAATGTCCTTTGTTATTTCAACGCTAAGTGCTCCATTCGTGGAATTTTTCTATTTTAACTTTTGGAAGGCTATTTTAACTTTTGGAAGGCCATTCTAATTTAAAATGAGTACCTTGATTGAACAATGACATGTGAATATAGATTACTATAATTATGAAGCCCCTGTCATTAAAGATATCTTTGAAAATACACACTCTGGCTTTCTGGACTTTCAGCAGTCTCTCGAATTCAATCGTAAAACGTCCAAGTCCAAGCTATTTTTTTCCCAAAAGTTGCTGACCACATCTAAGATTTCAGTCAATCTGATGACTGTATCGAGCTGATAATCCCCCTAGAGCTTGAATCAGACAAAACATCAAATAATGCTTTATGTTTAATTTCACAATTCCATAATACCATTCAATGGAGCACCATAGCTGTGACATCATAAAAATCTTTTTTTAGAATTTCTCAAATTTTTCTTCCTTTTCCAAAAGAGCATCAAAAGTCCGAAAGTCGAAAACCAATTGAATATGTTAAGTATTGGCTGAGATATGACCATCTGTATAAATAGATGCTCTTTTGGAAAATGAAGGAAAAATTGAGAAATTCCCAAAATATTTTTTTTATGACATCACACCCACCACTCTATAGATTCCTTGGACTTGCTGATATACACACTATAAGACTTCTCCCAATCAAGAGGATAGAATCTGTACATCACAGAAATCATTGATTACAATATTGGTACTCACCGCAACATATCGGCTGACGTTGCGCGACTGCGGGTACATTCCTGCAACGTGGGACTGGCTCATGGTGTAGCCCTGCTGTGTGGTATACAACGTTCCTGCCGTTACATCCCGGTGCTGGGGGCTCATGTCACGAGGGCGCTTGTACGGCGATATGGCCTCGGGGAGCTGCTGCCCTCCTCCTGGCAACCTGGAGTGGCGGGAAAAGGGGAAAGATAAAGAAACAAAAAGCGATAAGTAACATGAAACTTACATATCCTTCTTACACTTGTACTAAATTTTGTCAAAAATCCTGACGGATAGTCAAACTGTTCAAAACGTCGAGCCACTCCTACCACCCACCCACTCCTACCACCCATCCTCTCCAACCGGCGCTATTGTTCTACTTACAACTATAAGCTATTTGTTGTTGTTGTTGTTATTGTTTTAGTTTTAGTTTATAGGCGTTTGTAATTAAGAAAGATAACCAACAGTCTTTTTCAAGACTATACCAACAGTCCTTTTCAAGACTACACACATTTAAGAAAGAAAGATTAATGAAAGTCCTTTTCATGACTCCTCAATCCTCCCCCTTTCTCTCACGTGGTGCAACCGCAAGCCTACTGTATATCTACATCAACATGCAAGCCTATACTTATAAGCAGCATCCAATTCCAGTAGTGTTTATGAATGACTAAGTCCTTCTAAGTTTTGTTGATGTTGAAATAACAATTCTATGATATATTGGATGCCTTTGATTTAGATTATATCAGTTGTCCAAATGCCTTAAAAGTTGGGCATCCATTCTCAATATCCTTGTTCTGCAGATAGGATGTAAAGCTGGAGGTCCCCTAACTTTTCCTAACATGGTTCTTGCTTCCTTGGTGCTACGATAAACTGATAAAATCCATCCATTCATCCATCAATCCATCCATTCATTCATCCACCCATCAATCCATCTGGTCTACAATGTATCTATCAATCAATCACTCAGTCAATAAACCAACCAATCAAACAATCACACAATCCCCTATCCACATGCCATATTTCATTTTTAAGCCACCCACCCCCCCCCCCCCTCCACCAATTCACTCTTAAATTCACATAGCAGCAATACTTCAAATTTCACCCAACATTCATTCACATCCATCATATTTCAAGACCGCACATTATGAATTCAGATGTAACGTCATAAACATATTTGATGGATGTATCTCTTCCACGCGGTTTGCAGGCCTCAACATCAATCTCTATTTTCACTTGCTCACTGGAACAATATTTAACAAAATGTACATGGCAATGGCATACATGTACAATGTACATGTAAATAAAGATGCAATGGGTGCATTTTTTATAGCCCAACTGGGCAAAAAAGTTGTTTGCTATTAAAGCTTGCTCGTACACTCATTTTACTTGCTCAAATAGACAGTATACACAGAGTGCTATCATGTAAATGCAACTACTGGTCAAACTAAAATTGCAATCAGTAAAGCATCATCATACCATCTTTACAACTGTATGTGAAATGATAAGAGCTCTACTGGCTCCAGGCTGACAATATACATGAGTACATGTAAATGTACTATTGTATGAGTTGCCTGCTATAGTAATGCAGACAAATACATGTTTGCTTGCAGCATTCTGATAACTGACTCAAACAACAAAGAAATATTTGGAAGTGGTCATGCTGGTCTGTGTGAACAAATAAGGTTTTCACTTTTAAAAAAAACATACCTGGTATTTGTTTCTCCTAGAACTATGTCAATCAGTTGTGGTGCAGAACATTGTATACTGATAAAAAAAAATTGTACTAGTTGTTCTTGCAACCTTCTTCATCTTTCACAAGTAGCTAGTACAAATGTGAGGCCTCAAAAAGGATGTGTGTTCATGAATGTCGTGCAGAATGTTCTGGATTATATCAAACAAAACTGCTTCTGGCATTTTACATTACAAACACCTGTTACAGATTAATGTTCTCATAGAAACCATAGTCTGGATAGACCACCTGAAGGGGGAGGGGGGGTGAATACTTCATATATAATTAGAAGTGTAATCTGCACCCCATCCCCCCCCCCCTCCCCTTCCCTTTCATTCAATAATATTGAATGAGTGAATATACATAATCTTGAAGATATTTCTATTTTGGCAAAGTCGTTCATTTTGTTTAATATTCCCTTGTAGGTCATTGCAGTATACAGTACATGCAAATACTAGAAGTAGAAGCATGTTTGAAAAGTGGGATGTTGATGAAGCTCTTTCTGATTTATAATGACGTCAACACAATATTGAAATGGACATTAAGTAATGAAGTATGTTTATGTGCACAGATCCACAAAATGAAGCAAGTGAGTGTACTTTTGCAGCACTTTTCACACCGGCTAATTTCGCAGACATACAAGGGGGGAGGCGAGTACACACGCACCGGTCCCCAGGGCCAATGTGAGTTCATTTTACAGAGTAGACCTGTCCTCACTATCTCGAGATTGCCAAATATCCAGCTATTTGAACTATCCCAATCCAGCTAATTTGCGTCTTCATCAGCCCAAAGTAGCAATTAGCGGGATATTTGGTCGGGATTGTCATCCCTAGATATCTTGGACTAGTTTGCAAAATATCCTGCTATTTGGCAGAATATTCCTCTCTTTGTCCTGTGCGTTTTCACCAGCACGAAGACTCGCACTCTGCGCTAACGCTGAGCAAAATATCTCGAGCTAATTTCTCAAGGTCGAGTTTCAAGTTTCAGAGTCCAATTTCGAGCTGATGAAGACGCGATTTGTAACTTCAGGATTATTTCCCAAATCAGAAATAGCGGGCTATTTGGCAATCTCAGGATAGTGAAGACAGGCCTAGAGTGAGAGACATTGGAGATCGGAGGACTTGATAGAGCGGGGATTACACAGCATTAGAACAGAAGTCAATCTGAAATATAATCCCCACAACTGAAAGACGCGAGCACAGAGCTTTATCATTCCCATCGCGATATTATCAAATGCAGGAATATTCAGCAACAAAAATTAAATTCTTATCATCATACTCTATGCTGTGTTCATAATTGCATGAATGGTGATATTTAGCAAGAATGAATTGCAATCGGATTGAGATGCGAGTTCCTAGCATGCCACTTCTGATAGAGGATCATGTCGCGACCATGAAATAAATATCATCTCATGAAATATTCATGCTTTCAAACTGTGCATGAGTGCATGACTACACTTGCATGGAATTTGACAACATTCACGAGATACCATCTGGAATGGCTATACATTTGTATGTAAACTTCAGTGAACATTATATACATGTACAAATATAACAAAATTATATAGTGAACAACAGAACAAGCCATCATATCATTAGAATCGAGAGTCGTTTTGTCAGAATGTAAACACCACACTAATGTACATGTACTACGAGTATTGTACACAACCACATTTCCCAATGGAGAGCTTTTAAAATATTGTCTTGTCTGATAGTTTACCCCTGTGTATGCCCCCTTCATACAAATTTCTTTGAGTCAAAAGGGCCCTTTCACACTTTTATAACATTGCACTGAAACGTACATGTACATGTACATGTACAGAGAAAAAAAGCACTTAAAGACCGTCAATATTACTGGGCCAGAAGGGATTAGACCACACAGCGAGGTCACTGACAGGTGGCTATCTCATTAACTCAGCTCTCAACTAACATAAGAAAAAGAGGATCATGGGGGACCAACAGGCACCGATTGGGGAAGTTTTCCATATAGAGGGAGCAAGTAGCTACAAGTAGGACAGTGGGGCTTTAACATAGAAATGGGTATATGGGACTAAACATACATGGCAAGACAGTTGGTCCAAACTTCTAGGCTACTTCTACATTGTAGTCATTAAATGTACACTGAATATAAGGGCATTTATAAGAAGCAAGCTTCCTTTACAGCTGATATTTCTACATTCTTCCAAACTAACACGAAGAATGAAAAACTCACATTTTTTTCTTTTACCTTACCCAGAACTAAACCTTCTCTTTAAAAGAGTAGAGGACTGAGAGAGGTCTATTGAAGCACTTAAGGAAAACCACAGAGATGGGGCGAGGCTATTGGCCCTTGTTTATTCAGCTCCACATTTTATATCGAGAAGGAATTGGAGTTGATTGAACCACAATATCAGTGTTTTCTCAAACCCGATTCATTCATTGCGTAGTTTACATTCGGTGCGTGTCTGCATATTAAAGCACATAGAGGAGAATACATGTACATGAAGACAAACAATGTTATTTGTTGTTAACATGAAATCGACATGTACAATGTTTGTTTCAATAATTCATGTCTTTCATTCAACATGTTTAAAGTCTATTCACAAAACGTTCAGAATCTTCAGAATTGTAATTCTCTTTCTTCGCAAGTGGCCATGAAGAGCACACAAAACACACTGTGTACCCTTAACATAACGTGCACTTTGCCCTTCAATGATAAACATCTCGTTTCAAGTAGTTCTGTGTACTGGACATCATACTATATTATAGGTCAAATTAGCATCGTTGGTGATCTAAATAAGGAGTTGTCAAACACCATCATCAAACTGCACACAATTACAAATATTGGGTGTAGAATTAAAAGCAATTCAGGGTTAAAGTTCTTTTGCTTGCAGAGTAAATGCAGCTTTTATAGATGTAAATAGTACCTTAAAGGATTGTACAATTTTCTCCTCCTAATTCACTGGGATATAATATTGTACATGTATACATAATACACATTATCAGGTATTACCTTACTAGTAATGCACCAAGGGTATTATATTCGCATTCTGAAATAGCTAGTGCTGTAGTCAAACGTTTAACCGTCCGGTATCCGACCGCCCATGGCGGATTCCGTTTTCAATTGGACGGTTTCGTTTTCCTGTTTTTTTTTTTTGTTTTTTTTTTTTTAAATTTTTTTTTTTTTTTTTTTTTTTTTTTTAAAGTTTCGATTTATGCCCCTCCACCTGGCACTATGCCTGGCAATGTCTCCCAGCTCAGTAATCGGTGTGATTACTTACCACTTGGAAACTAGAACAACACTCCAATTTGTCTGTCATCTTGGTTTGAAAGTAATCTTTGTAATAGATCTCAATATATATTCATCCAAGTGTAACACATGGTGTACCACAAGGTTCTATCCTAGGTCCTCTACTGTTTTTAATTTACTTTAATGATCTTACACATTATTCTAAAACGACATTGTTACTATTATTT